ATACTTTATGAGTACTATTCACATAATATTATCCTATATAACATTTAATATAATTTAATTTTAAAATAAATATTTTTCTGAAAAATATCCTGACATATACCTTGCTTAAATAATAATGTAAGTACAAAAAAAAATGTTATTTTAAATTCAACTAAACAGTGGTGTCAATTTATTAACTTTATATTTGTTTTATTACACAATTTTAATTTGATAAATTTTACAATGGAATAACTTCAATTATTTTTAAAAATAATTAAATATAAACTTACATATCTTAAAATAAAGTAAAACTAGTAATAGGTATAATATTCTAACAAACAAGAATTAAATAATTGTTAACTACTTAAATGATGGTGGCTTTCTTGGTTCAATACTTTCTTTTTCTTTAACTTTTAGTTCAAAAAGTTTATGTATACCTTTTCGTAAAATCACAAAATTATAATCTATAATTCCTAAGAATAAAAACAAATTAATATATATTTTTCGCCCTTTGTAGAATAAAATGTATGACATTTTGTAACTCACTTTGTTTTTCAAAGTTATCTTCTCTTAGTATACATACAAGTGCCAAAAAACTGCATACCTCTCTCAAATATAAAATGGTACCATTATTTAATTTAATTAGACTTGAACTTTGATCATCAAAAGCTGGATCATTCATTAATCCTGGGTTATCGCCCAACCTAAAAACATTTAAACGTTAAACTGAACACCGTTCATTAATAAAACTATCAAATAACTAACCCATAAATATTTGATAAATCTATAACAACATCTATCATATCACAACAAAGTTCATAACTTTGAATATCAACCGGTGATGAATCAGTTGCTACATATATTTTAGTTTTTACATCATATAAAAAGGCTTTTTCAATTCCAGATGTCTGAAATTAAATTATTTAAAAAGAATTTAAAACAAAAATATCAATATTAATAAAAAAAAATATTATCATTACCGATATAATAATGTTTAGGAAATTTTCAAGAGTTGCATATTGAGGAATCATCTTTTGCACAACTCTACTAAATGCTTCAAATATGCTATGATCGTAAATTGATGTCAAATGGAAACTAATATATATTTTTTGTTCATCTCCTAAAGAACATAAATTAGTATTTAATTGAATGTACTTAATTAATAAAACATATCATTAATGTGGCCACTAACTCTCACAATTAAATCATAGCTAACATTCTAAAAACTACCTGAATCTACAAGATCATCATTAGCTCTTTGGTGAATTTCTCGTTGAGTTTCCATTTTAGTATCTTCTGTGAGTCCATCTACTTTATGAATAAAAACTTCAAACT